TTTATTATAAGAAAGTTTTACTTATACATCATTTCCTAAATTATTTTGCATCATTATTTGGCTAATAACTTGGCGCGGCACTGTATGATAAGCATGGACTGCTAACTGCAAGGTTGAGAGTTCAAACCCAACAGTTGTTTCTAGGACACCCACCCTGTATAGGGTTGCTATGAGTTAGAACTGACTTGATGGCACTTAACAATAAAACATTAATGTTAAAGAGCTCAATTAATGGAAGCATTATTATTTAAAAAAATATTTTTCCAATTATCTTTCTAGGTATTTAGATCTACCCCTCCTCCACCTCCCATAATTAATGAATAGTCAAAATGAACATGAGGTTTTAAACTTTTGTCCTGATTTTAATCTTTTTCTAAAACACTGTATTTGGTAAATTTATTTGAGGTTTTTTTTCTTTTTCAGTTTCTTCTAAAATAAACTAATTTTAAACTATTTTTTCTGCACTATTCTTTTTGATGATGATTTTCTAACTTTTTCTTAGAAGTTTAGTCTGGGAGGGATGGATCTTTTAATAAATGTCTAGCATAATTTAGGAGTCCACTTGTGGCGCCTTAGGATAAGTGCTCAACCTCAAGGCCGGTTTGAACTAAAAGTTCAGCGGTTCAAACTTACCAGCAGCTACTCCATGGAAGCCCTATACAGGGTCACTTTGACTATGCCACAACACTTAGCAAAAACAACACAGCATAATTTATGTACATATAATTATACTTCCATGTAAATTTGTTGTTGTTGTTGTTAAGATGCCATCGAGTAAGTACTCATAGCGACGCGACTCATAGCGACGCTATGTACAACAGAATGAAACACTGCCTGAAATTGCTACGTATCAATTCAAGAAATATATATTTCAGATATATTCATATTAGGAACAAAATAATCTTTTTTTTATTATTATTATTCTTAGAAGTGACTATGGTTTTATGATAAAAGCATATGTTGATAATAAAAGTAAAAACAACAACCACATCTCATACCTGTTAAGAGTTAATAAAAGACAATGTACGTAGATTGTGGAGCCAGCTTGAGTGTATTTGGGTCTAGCCCCATCCTCTAGCTGTGCAACTTGGGCACGTTTTTTTAGCCATCTGTACCTCAGTTTCTTAATGAGGATAATAACAGTGCTGGCTGCATGGGCTGGTTATGGAGCTAATAACAGTTTTGTTGTATACCATACAATTCCCAACTCAAGTGTTTTTTAAATATATGCGCTAGATTATACAACTTTCACCACAATTTAATTTTAGAACATTTTTGTACCCCCAAAGAAACTCTGTAGCCGTTAGCAGCCATTCCCTTGTCCCCACCTCCAGCTCAAGGGAACCAATTATCTTTCTATCTTTATAGATTTGTCTATTCTGAACTTTTCCTACAAATGGTATCATAGTATATGAGATTAGGAGATCTGTGGTGGCGCTGTAGGATAGGCATTGGATCACACACACACACACATACACAAAGGTTGGCAGTTCAAATCCACCAGCCATTCCTCAGAAACCTTATACAAGGTTGCTATGAGTTATAACTGACCCAACGACATTTAGCAACAACAACAGCATGAAAGTAAGTCAAGAAGTATTACTATAAAAATTTTAAAAAACTTATTAACAAAAATAGCAAAGTATATTTTGAAGTTATTGTTTCCAAGCATATCCTCCATCTAGGTCTGTGCCATTTTGAAGACTGTTTACATCTCTCTAACCCTTCCTTCTCTGAAGACTTCTGTGCTCCTTGATTTGTACCATATCGAATGGCAGTTTTGGCATTCTTGAGGGATTCAAATTGTGTTCTTTTTAAATGTTCTTTGAGTTTGGGGAACAAAAAGAAGTCTGAGGGGGCAAAATCAGGGCTGTAGGGTTAATAGGGTAAGATTTCCGAGTGAAATTCTTGTAGGACAATCCTTGCTACTCTTCAAGAATGAGCAGGTGCATTGTTATTATGGGAAAAAAATTCCTTGGTTTAACTCTCCTGGTTTTTTTCTCATCAGTGCAGATTTCCATTTTCTTAAAATTTCTTCATAATAAGCTGTTATGATTATTCTGTCCTTGGAGATAATCTGTCAATGTTATATATTGAAAATCTTAAAAAACAGTTAGTGTAACCATGTTAGCTGACTTCTCTGCCTTGAATTTAATTGACCCAGCAG